GTGGGAGGTGTTGAGGGGGGGGGGGCAGCAGTGCTGCATGGCCTTGGCAAGGAGGGGGGGACAGGGACTAGAGAAGCCAGCGGGCCCAGGTGGGCTACAAACCCCATTGTGGGATTGCCAAATCCTCTCGTTAGGATCCCTGGGGACAATCCCCTGCTGCCAGCCTGCACTGGGCCACTACGCAGCCTCCCCTGCCTCCTCCCTGAGGGTTGGGCAACCATGGGGCCCGAGTGGGCTACTCAGGGGTGATGCTCACCTCCATCCCCAGGTACACCATGGTGGAGGTGACAGTGACACCGAAATCCTCACTGGCCGACCGGCTGGCACAGATACGGGTGCGGGGACTGTCCCCCTCGCAGCTGGTTACTTTACGAGCGTCACTGACGGACGAGCAGGGTGAACGTTTCCAGTCTCGTGCCTTTTTCCGCGCCGATGCAGCGGGCGAGGTGGATCCCGGGCTCCACGCCGCTCTGGGTGGCAGCTACACCGGCGTTTGGCCCATGGGACTTTTCTGGTTCCTGCGGCCCGACACCCTTTTCCGACGCCTGGTCAAGCGGAATGTGGCCGGCAGCCCCTTCCTCGTCCGGCTGGAGGTTTTTGATGGGATCTGTTTGCTCACCAGGCCCCAGGACCAACCGTTGGCCTCCTGCGAGGCTGAGCGGTGGTATGTGGGTCCTGGTGTCCAGCGGGTGCCCATCCGGGAGGGCAGGGTCCGGGGGGCCCTCTTCTTACCACCTGGTGAGAAACGGGGTGTGGGGGAACCCCGGGATGTCCCAGTGATCAGCTTGTCCTGATGACTGGGGACATTCTGGGGTTGCGGGATGGCACCAGTGGCTTCTCTTCCCTCATGGGTGATGATCTCTGGCTCCTCGCAGGACCGGGACCCTTCTTGGGGGTGATCGACCTGTTTGGGGGTGCAGGTGGCCTCATTGAGTTCCGCGCAGGGCTGTTGGCCAGCCGGGGCTTCGCTGTGCTGGCCCTGGCCTTCTTCGCCTACGATGACCTGCCCCGCACCCTGCTCCAGATCGACCTGGAATATTTTGAGGAGGCGGCCAAGCTGCTCCTCCAGCACCCCAAGGTGAGCCCTGCAGCATGGCGTGTGGCCCCTGCAAGCAGGGACATCCTGGTGTGGGGGAGATGTCCTGGGGACTTGGGATGTCCTGATAAGCAAGTTGTCCTGGGGGCTGGGGACATCCCGGTGAACAGGATGTCCTTGTTACCAGGGATGTCCCAGTGGGTTGTCCTGGGGACTGGGAACATCCCAGCGAGTGGGTTGTCCTGGTGACATCCCAGCAAGTGGCACTGCCGACTGGCTCCGTTTCCCCACCCCACTGCAGGTGCGAGGCCCTGGCCTGGGTGTCGTTGGCGTCTCCAAAGGAGCAGAGGTGGCCCTTGCCATGGCCACGTTCCTCCCCCAGGTGGTGGCCACAGTGTGGATCAATGGCACGGCCTTCCTCTACGGCAACCCTCTGGTCTACAAGGATCTCCACATTCCCCCCATCCCCTACCTCACTGAGAGCGTAGTCCTCACGGAGGTGGGGGCCTTGGACAACTTGGGTGTCTTCACTGACCCCCGGGACCCCGCGTACAGCGCCTCGGCCATCCCGACAGAGAAAATCCGGGGCAAGGTCCTTTTCGTGGTGGGGGAGGCTGATCGCAACTTGAACAGCAAGCTCTTTGCCGAGTTGGCCATGGCACGCATGTCACCGGCGAGCTGTCGCCTCCTCTCCTACCCCGGAGCCGGCCACTTGATCGAACCCCCCTGCTCACCCCTCTGTAGTATGTCCAGCATGAGGGGAAGCCCCCTTCCGGTGCTGTGGGGGGGTGAAGCCCAAGCTCACGCCAAAGCCCAGGAGCACTCGTGGCAAGAGATCATCCAGTTCTTGGAGCTTCACCTGGGCCGTGCTGCCACCATGAAGCTGTGATGGCTGCGGGGAGCTGGGGCGGGGGGAGGAAGGGGCTGAGGTTGCCCCCCAGCCCCGGGCTCATTGCCCCCCTCAATAAAGTGCACCGTGCCAGCCAGCGCTGCCTGGTCCTGCCTGTACTCGTGGGGTAATGGCATGTGGGAGGACCCTATATGTATATAGGTACATATATAGGCACAGCCACGGCTCAGGGCATTGTGGGGGTGTCACTAACCAAGGTTAAAGTTTTAGTGGGGGGCTATGGCAAACCCCCACCTCCGCACACCCTTTCACTGTGAGTTTGGTGCCGGTAGGTGGCGGGAGCTGGTGCGGTCCCAGTGCCTGTGCTGAGCTGGGGGTGGGTTTTTCCTCCGGGAACGCTGAGGGGTTTAAACAGCCCCCCCCCCCC